GCCCTACATACACTGAGGCAAGGTCACCGAGCAGTAGACGACTATGCAGCCGAATTCAGTCATTGGGGTAGTGACACCCAATGGAATGAGGCAGCCCTGCATCACCAGTTCCGCATGGGTTTAGCTGAAACATTGAAGGACGAGCTGGCCCGAGTAGACATACCTGATACTCTTGAGGGCCTGATAACCTTATCCATTCAGATTAACCACCAGTGGCGCTGGCAGGAAAGGTCCAACCAAGATCAGAGACCAACCTGGATATCACCTCATGCTGCAGCTCATCCTAAGTCCCTAAGGGTCAACTGGAATCAGGAGGTGGCGGATACATCGGGATTCGGGTTATCGGGAAGGATTCGGCCTCCACTTACACTTGAGGAACGTCAGAGGCGTCAGGTAAACCGCCTTTGCCTCTATTGTGGGGAAGCCGGCCATATAGTGCGTACCTGTCCAGCCAAGATGGGTAAGTGTTCTGTGTTTTCTATGGTTACTTCTAAGAATGGGAACAACATCAGCTATTTAGCAATACCTATCTCACTTCAGCTGCCAGGGAAAACTGTGGTAACCACGGCAATTGTGGACTCTGGAGCATGTAGCTGCTTTATAGATCTGGACTTTGCAGCTCAGCAGCAGATCCCCTTGCAGACAAAAGAGATGGGTTTAAATATATTTTTAGCTGATGGGTCCCATATCAGGTCAGGGGTGGTGGACCGTGAAACCCCACCTATTTGCACTACAGTGGCAAACCATCACCAGGAATTCCTCCGCCTGGATGCTATTGCATCCCCTCTGTTCCCGGTTATCCTGGGGCTCCCTTGGTTACAAGCCCACGACCCACAGATTGATTGGAGGGCAGGATCAATTCTCTTCCAGTCACCCTATTGCCAGCAGCGTTGCCTCTCTAGGATGCCCCCAGCGCCGCAGGCCTTGCTATGTCTGGATGCAGATGCAGGACTGGGCCAAATCATTCCTTCGGCCTACCATAGCTACTTGGACGTGTTTAGCAAGCGGGGGGCATATGTCCTGCCCCCGCACCGAACATATGACTGCCCCATTGATCTTCTCCCAGGTTCAGAAATACCTTTTGGGCGGATATTCCCTTTGTCCGAATGGGAGTTAGGGGCTCTAAAGGAATATATAGATGAGAGCCTCCGCAAGGGGTTTATTCGGCCCTCCACATCACCAGCTGGGGCTGGCATTTTCTTTGTGGAGAAGAAAGAAATCCTTACGACCCTGTGTAGACTACCGAGACTTGAATAAAGTGACTGTCAAGAATCGTTACCCGCTACCCCTGGTCCCTGAACTTTTTCAAAGATTGAAGTCAGCTTCCGTCTTTACTAAGCTGGATTTGAGGGGTGCATACAATCTAGTCCGTATCAGAGAGGGGGACAAATGGAAAACAGCATTCCGTACCAGGTTTGGATATTTTGAATATTTGGTCATGCCCTTCGGCCTTTGTAATACACCCGCCACCTTCCAGCACTTCATAAACGACGTGTTCAGGGACTATCTTGACATCTTCGTTGTCGTCTACCTGGAAGACATCCTGATCTTCTCCCCGTCATTGGAGGTCCATAGAGGTCACGTGAGGTGCGTGTTGGAGCGGCTCCGCCAACACGGCCTATACGCCAAGGCAGACAAGTGCTGTTTTGAACAGCATAGTATCCCTTTTTTGGGTCTGACCATCTCCACCATGGGAATAGCCATGGATCCTCAAAAGGTCTCGGCTGTTTTGGATTGGCCAGTACCTACTGACAAAAAGGTGGTCCAATGCTTCATTGGCTTTGCAAACTTTTATAGGAAGTTTATCAAGAACTTTTCAGGCCTGGTTTCCCCGATTACCCAGTTGACCAGACAGGGGGTCCGTTTTCAGTGGACGCCAGAGGCGCAGGAAGCTTTCACGTCTTTAAAGAAGTTGTTCACTGAAGCCCCTATTCTGAGCCATCCTGACCCATCATTACCCTATATTCTGGAGGTAGATGCGTCTGAGAACGCAGTTGGGGCAATTCTGTCGCAGAGGAAGGGCATTAAGGAGCTCATGCACCCGGTGGCCTTTTTCTCTAGGAAACTGACTTCTGCAGAAAGGAATTATGATATCGGGGACTGGGAGCTTCTGGCGATTAAGGTAGCACTAGAGGAATGAAGGTATTTACTAGAGGGGGCCTTACACCCAATATTAATATTTACCGACCAAAAGAATCTAGAATATTTGAGGACAGCCAAGCGCCTAAGACCACGTCAGGCCAGGTGGGCACTCTTCTTTTCGCGATTTGTCTTTCACATCACCTATTGGCCAGGGTAAAACAATACTAAGCCCGATGCGCTCTCACGCATGTTCGGGGACCCCGACGAGACTCCCAAACCTGACACCATTCTGTTCTCGGGAAATTTTCTGGCCCTACAATCCGAGCTCCGCTCTAGACTGCAGACCGCATCTGTAGGTATGCCAGGTCCACCCGGTATCCCCTTATCGAATAGGGGGGGCTTCTTTGGAAAGAGAATCAGATTGTGGTTCCCGAGGAAGTACTGTGGTACTTGGATATTGCCATGACCACCCGTTAGCAGGTCATTTCGGGGTACACAAGACCCTGGAACTGTTGCAGCGTACATTTTGGTGGCCCAATATGGCCAAGGATTGCGAGTCATATGTTAAGACTTGCACCGTTTGCCAAAGGAATAAGCCTACTAGGAGTAAGGCCTGGGGCCTATTACGCCCATTACCTTTCCTGATAGACCATGAAGTATGATCTCCATCAATTTTATTGTGGAACTTCCACCCTCTCAGGACCATACGGCGATCTTTGTGATCGTGGACCGTTTGTCCAAAATGGCCCATTTTGTACCCTTAACCACTTGCCGTCCGCCTGCTGTTTATAAACAGCAAGGCGGTGGCAGTGCAGGGGCGGGTTGCCGTTCATAAACGGCACCCGCCTTTTCTAGCTGTGCAAGCTCCCTGGGAGCGTGCAGCACCACGATCCGGTGCCCGCTGTGTCCTCCGGACACAGTGAAACACCGATCGTCGGACGGGACCTCTGTACGAGGTCCCGATCATGTGATCGCTGATTGGCCAATCAGTGATCACATGCAAAGTAGTAAGCAAGATGTCACTTGTGTGAAATCTGTGAATGATCACAGAGGTCATATGGTACAAGGCTATACACAACAGCCTTGTACCATGTGACAAGCTGTGACCAATCACAGCTCACACAGAACTTCTCAATGACTGCAAGAATGCAGACAGAGAGAAAGAGAAATGATTGCTTTTACATCCTATATGGGTGTAAAAGCAATCAGTACTGCTAGAGTGACAGTATGTAAAAAAAAAATAAAAATAATAATATATAAAAAAAAAAATAAAATAAAAATGTTTAAAAATTATAATTTTTGGTTATAAACTAATTTGGATTTTTTTTTTTTTTACTAAAAAAATAACGGAATAAATTTTGGCCAAGATTTATGATGAAATATTATTTATTTGCAAAATTTTAGTAAAAAAAAAACACTTTTTTTCAAAATTTTTGGACGTTTTCATGTACATAGCAAAAAAAAAAAAAATCCCAGCGGTGAATAAATACCACCAAAATAAAGCTTTATCTGTCTCAAAAAAATGGCAAAAAATTCATATGGGTACAGTATTGCATGACCGCGCAATTGTCATTCAAAGTGTGATAGCGTTGAAAGCTGAAAATTGCCCTGAACAGGAAGGGGGTAAAAGTGTCCGGACAGGAAGTGGTTAAAGGACACACCTACGGCCTCTGAAACAGCACAGGTTTTTATCAGGGAGCTAGTAAGACTCCATGGGATTCCTAAGGATATCGTGTCAGACTGGGGGGCTCAGTTCACATCTAGATTTTGGAAGGCTCTATGTGAAACGCTCGGGATTATGCTGTCGTTCTCGGCATATCACCCACAAACCAATGGCCAGATGGAACGAACGAATCAGACCCTAGAGCAGTACCTCAGGTGCTATATCACCTTCCTCCAAGACGACTGGTTGACCCTCCTGCCACTAGCGGAATTTGCGTATAACAACGCAAGTCATTCCGCTACAAAGCAGGCTCCTTTTTTTTCGAATTACGGATTCCACCCCATATTCTTACCGGATATGATTCCGGAAGTCACGGTCCCGGCCACGCAGGACATGTTAAGTTTTTTATCCTCTAATAGCAAGGTGCTGCAAGAGGCGATGGCCAAAGCCCAGGAGGACAATAAGAGGGCCTTTGATAGGAGGAGAAGGGGAGAATTAAGCTTGCACCCAGGGGACCAGGTCTGGTTAGCCACAACAAATCTTAAAATGTCCTGTCCATCAAAGAAACTGGCACCTAAATTCCTGGGTCCGTTTTGGGTAAAACGTAAAGTCAATGAGGTGGCGTACGAACTCACGCTCCCCGAATCCTTTAGAATTCATCCGGTCTTCCATGTGTCACTATTGAAGCTGGCGACACCAGACCCCTTTCCGGATCGGAGGTCTAAACCGCCAGAGGCGATAGACATCGACGGAGAAGAGGAGTTTGAGGTAGAGGCAATCCTAGGTTGTAGGAAGAGGAGAGGCCAAACTCAGTTCTTGGTCAAATGGAAGGGATACGGGGCTGAGGAGAATTCATGGGAGCCAGCCCAAAATGTTCACACCCCAAGACTCGTTCGGGAATTCTTTCAGAACCAGCCATCTAGGAGGGGTCGTTTGGGCATCCGGAGGCTGCCAGTAGGGGGGGGGGGCCATGTCAGGGACTGCAGGTCTCGCAGCGGCGCACAGGTCTGCACATATGCAGATTGCCTAGGTGCACTATTGTGCAGGCACTAGGACCTGGGCTTCGGTGGCGGTGCAGGGCGCACTATTTAAACTGACCAGACGGTGACTAGGTTGCCGCAAGGTCTAGTTCCTGTACCCGTGTTCTGAAGTGTGTTCCTGTTGCCGATCCTGCTTGTCCTGATTTGTGTTGACCTTCTCCTGCTCTGACCCCCGGCTCGTCCCTGACTACTCTCCTGTCTGTAGTTATATTACTATTGGACCTCCCGTTGCTGAACCTTGGCTCGTGACCTGGCTGCTCTCTGTCTACTTTAGTACCTACCTGCCTCCACCGTTACTGACCCAGCTTGTCTGACTACGCTCATCCCTGACTGTCATCCATCCATCCATCCCACTCGGGACCTGGACTTGTCAGCCTCTTCACAGCAGGCTCACCCCCCCCGGCATGTACCTTCGGCGGGACCCCTCTACCACATTTGGCCTGACACATAGTCCCAAATACAGCCCATTAACTACAACCTTACCAACGCAACCTTATAATTGGGAAGGGACACCCATGCCTACGATGGGCCCAACCCATAATCCTCAAAAATGTCACTCCAGCACCGTCTTCAAAGACCTAGCGAACCCTGCCAGCTGCCATGACAAAAAACACAAGACAAGGACCTCAAGACACAACATTCAAATAAAAGAAAGAAAAAAACCCCAAAAAGAACCCAAAAACAAAAAAGCAAGACAAACACAAAGGACAGAACCATGAACATGGGCCAGGGAGGGAAGGTGGGAGAAATCTCACCAGTGCTAGCACAAGCTCCTACTGACCCCTGACAAGTCCAGCCTCCTCTCCCCATCCTGGAAAACCTCCCTCTTCACTGAAAACCTCCAATCAGGTAAGCCACCACCCTACCAAATGAATATACTCCCACCCTATTAGTATCTCCACCTTGTCTGCAAGCCCCAGTCATGCTGGCCCTCCCCTTAGCTTTGCTCAGTTACAGGCCATGTAATGGAATGGCTGCATGGGTAGATTTTCTGATGATGATACCAGTGGGCCATACCTGCCTAATCTGTTGAAATGAACACTTGTAGTCTTTAAGGGATGTCTGACAGGGTGAGCACATCTTACCTCATGCAAATTAAAATGTATACAAAAACAGCAACAATATGTATACAGAAACAGAAACAGAGCAAACATCTTAATATAAACTTTGTCTCACCATTGCATCGCGTCCGTGTGATGTCTAGCTGGAAACCTCCATTACACTCACAGGAAAACCCATGTGGGCCTTTCACACAGCGACCATTCACACAAGAGCACTCATTTGACTCCTCTTCTGAGCTATCTCCACCTAGAATGAGAATAATCAAAATAAAGCATGCAAGCAAAAGTGGCAGGATTGTAATACTACCAGTTTCAGATCAAACTACAAACAAGTAAGATGCTTATTAAGATAAAACAGCTTATTATTTTATACTGTGATGCTATATATTATGGCCTGTAAAGATATACTCTAGCTGAACAAAAATTACCCAACTAAGCGCATGCAAGATGCACAACCTTCCTATTCAGGGTTTTCATTCAAGCAAATGTTTTTTATTACATCATCTTCATTCAATTCTGAAATCTCTTTAGCAGTATTGTGTTCTTGTAACACTATTTTGACAGGCTTTGGAAAGTGCAGTAGGTATGGCCAATTCTGTCTATTTCATTGATTCTAGACCGTAAGGGGTCAAAGAATGTGTCATCATGCAAAAGATCTCACCTTTATAGATATAACGCCCTGTAGCTAAGCTAGGCAGAGGGTGAGTAGCAGCCTTGGATAAGCCAGCCTGGGAGTGAGATAGATTACCTAGGGAGGTTCTGAAGGTCAGGGCTTCTGGAGCCATCCCACCACTCCAAGAAACCCGAGAGCTTTCTGAAGAAGGGGAGGAAGCTCAGATCTGCATACTTGAGGGACCTTAGCCAAACCCCTGGCAGGAGGCTAGGCATGCAGACCAAGGCAACCATAAAGTATCACAGAGCCTGAGTGGAAGGGAGCAGTATTGGGTGGAAGATGGAGTGAGAGACTTGCATGTGGGGCCTGGGAGGAGGCTCAGGGAAGGGGCCTACCTACATGAAGGTGCTGGAGAAGAGGATCTTCACTGTACCACTGACTCAAAGGGAGGATATCCTAAGCAGCAGGGAAGGAGCTAGCCCAGCGAAAGGTCTGAAGACAGCCAGCAACCCATTAAGCTATCAAGAGAGGACAGTGTGAGTACTCAAACTCCCTCCCCTGGGCTGGATAAGCGGAGAGGGGCAGTCAGGTGGAAAACCCAGCTAACTTTTCATTCGGGGCTGCTGTTCTAAATTGGCAGTTTCTGGGCCCTCGTGCCCAGGGAATACCCTCAGTTCATCTAGGTGGAGGAGGAGGATTCATCTGGGGTCTGAGGAGATACACCAGAGAGCAGGAATACTCCTAAACGAGAAACTATTTTTGTCCACATCTGTAAATAGTTGCTAAGGAGTTTGTCCTCCAGTATGCAGTTTTCTTGGGCATCTCATACACCCCTCAACCCCATCCAAGTTTTTAACCCCTTAATAAAATCACAAAACCCAAGCTCAAGGACTGTTTACTGAGTGCAAAGTGTGGAGGAAAATACGTGTTGCCTGGCTGTGTAGAGCTTTAGGGGGACCCAAAACTCAGCGACTCCTAAGGGAGTAGTGATACAAAGAAAAGGTTTAAAACTCCTGTAAATTTTTTTGCCTGTGCCCCGTTGGAAACATTTTTCCTTAATTTTCTGTACTGATAATGTGACAAGAATTAAGAGCAAATGACTCCAAATATGGGGATTTCCTCTCGTAAGCAACTGTCTCTGGAACAGGTATCACTCGTTGGAAGAATTGTATTCACCTCCTGTTCTGGTGACAGCTGTGAAATTTCTTATCACTTTCTGATCTGCAGACAATGATCAACAGGACAAATAAAGAGGGTGAACAAATCTACTCATTATTGCTTTTGAAAGCCAGAATGTGACACAATGTGGGGAATTTACTATATCTGAAGCACACAGATTCTGTTACTCTAAATACACATGTAACAGGCTCCAAAGGTGATCTTAGCCTTTAAGACATAACAAATCAGGTGTTGGTAACTAAAAAAAAACACACTTAAAAAGGTGCACCTATAGCAGGGGCTTCCAAACTTTTCAGTGTACGGGCCACTTCATATAATTTACAAATATTCAGAGCTGAAAAAAATCAGTTTTATAAATTAACGTTTTTTTTTTTTTTGGGGGGGGTTAGTAATTGGCATGATTGATCAGCAAAAGAGAAAAAAACTTAACTGAAATAAAGCAGAGAAATTCCAAATACATCCAAATAGTGTAGGACTCGCTAGACATGAGTACATATGGTGAGTATTGAAGAGTGATCTCCCTGAAGAGGAGACGCTTAAGAGGGGATATGATATTGATATAAAAACCTTTAAATTGTGACTCTAGCATTGGGAGAAAACTATTTTTCTTAGGTCCTTAAAGAAATTACACAGCCATGCAATGAAGTTGGACAAGAAGCGCTTCAATCTTAAAGTGCATAAGGAGTTCTTTACAGCTAGAGTGGTAATGATGTGTAACTCTCTTCAAAAGTTGGTGGTGTGGGTGGCGTGGCTGGAGTGGAAGCTCAATGGCTGCATAACCACACAGCTCTGCTGTACTCACAGTGCCAGCACACAGCAGCGGCTGACCTGACACTCCAAAAGCGACCAGAAGAGAGGCAACAGCCCGGTGACCCTCTGGGAGATGACAAAGAAGAGGAAATCTGAGAGGAAACTCCTGAAATTAACAACAGAGTTTCCCCCTCGACTGGATCACAGAAATCCCCAACATGGCAGCAGCAGCTCAGGATCCTCCTCGTCTCACTCAGCACACAGGCAAGTCTCTGCAGCTTCTCCTATGACACCTGTTAAGCAGAAAAACAGCTCTATCTTACTGCAGCCTGTCTCCCCTCCTTTCTCTACTTCATTTATTGAGAGCACAGTAAAATCTAAACCTAGAATGACAGATATTAACCCACAGCATGTTGTAACAGATTCTTACACTAATACTTCACATTCTGCAAGTAATTTCTCAGATCCAATGGCTAACTTTCCTACTACTAGTCAGCCTATTTCTGATACATTAATGAAGGAGATGCTCCTTTCATTAAGATCATCTATACAGTCAGATATAATTAACTCTATGCAACAAATCAAATCAGAGATTAATGATCTTGGCGACAGAGTTGACCATGTTGAAAAAAAAAATGGGAGAATACGCCACTTCCTTTAGCACCCTAGTAGACGCCCACAACGAAAGGGATGAAGAAATTAAATGGCTCAAAAATAAAGTTGCAGATCTGGAGGATAGATCACGACGTAACAACATTAAAATAAGAGGCATTCCAGAATACATACAACCTGACCAATTGAGATCATATACCCAAGAGCTCTTTTGTGCCCTCCTACCTGAGGCTACAAAGACAGATCTGACCATCGATAGAATACATTCGAAAACCCTCCTATCTGCCAGATAAAATACCTCAAGATGTCTTGATGCGAATTAATTTTTTTCATGTCAAGAGCAAATCATGAAATTGCGCTCAAACCCCAAAATTTGCCTGCAGAATTCTCTTTACAGCTTTTCACAGATTTATCTAAGCACACCATGCAACTCAGGAAAAATTTCTTCCCAATAGCAAAAGCTCTACGAAACCACAAAATTATTTATCGTTGGGGTCACCCTAAGTTGATCGCCACCAGAAATGACTCAATCATCACAATCAACAGCCTAGAGGAAGGTCTGCAATGTCTTAGAGAGTGGGACATTCTCCCAGAAAGCGACCCACAACATTCCACCACCACCAGAGCAACTCCAGAGTGGAACCTGGTCACTCACAAACGCCAAACTAAACATTGACCATATATTTGCAATCTTATCTCATGCTCCCCGTTTAGATGTAATTTCACATTTTTAAGCAAGGCACTGAGGGTACTACCCTTACTGAACACACTACCTGTAAATAAGCCTTCCAATGGCAAGATCACTTGTTTTGTTTTTGCCCCAAAAGTACTACGCAATTTTCATTGTGTTAGGATCTTGGCTAAGATCCTATTTTTTACTGACTTGTTATCTGTTCAGTTATCTGTATTTGTTTATTTTTTCTTTTTTGTTTCTACTATCGTGTAATTCCTGATAGTCTAAATCAGGGATCCTCAAACTACGGCCTGTGGGCCACATGCGGCCCGCCGAGGACATTTATCTG